CCCTTTCATGCTTCCTGAAATTAAGGTACAATTAGAAAAAAAAAAAAAACGTATTAAATTTTTTTTTTTTTATAGTATTATTTATAATAGTTCTCATCCAATGATGTTTTATGATATCAAAATATGTTTTATGCTTATATTATAAAAATAAATTGAGTTCCTGAGTCAACTGTCCATGCTGTTACTCTAAAATACCCATCATCCATGTTTTGGCTTAATGTAATACCATTTTTTCAAATGTAATTCTGTCTTTTCAAATTTAAGTACGTTTTTTCACCACTTCCATTTTTTCACCATTTCTGCTTTGGCCCCTTCCGTTATTTTTTTAAACCACTTCTGCTTTGGCCAAATGTAATTCCGTTTTTTTTTTGTTTTTTTTCAAATGTAATCCCATTTATTCAAATGTGTTTTTGTTGCAGATTTTTTTTTAAATGTAATTTTGTTTTTTAAATGTAATTCCGTTTTTTCACATATTGTTCATTTACACCTCAGGGCCACTGTATGGAAGAGCACACATGGCTTGCCAAATAATACACAACCCCTCCAGGTTCACCAAAACATTACACCTACTGATCAGAAATACAGTAATCTAATTTAGCAAACACATTTGCACCAATCCACATAAAACATCCATGACAAAGAATACCCAAACGTGCAGTATGTCATGTAATCTACATGCTTGTTCACATATAAAGTATCTATGCAGCTACACATGTACAACAGTTAACATGAGAAAAGTACATCAAGCCATACAATAAACTGATGAAGTTTAGGTTTGGATAAAATGTGGCTTGCTTTGTTCAATTTTGCCCAAATGTGTTGTCACCAAAACAATTATTTCCATTTGAACGACTGGAAAGAAATTAGCCAAAGATCAATTTCTACAGTATCTCACTGATAAAAAAAAGAAAAAGAAAAGCATTGCACATTCTGCTGAGCGAAAGATAATGAGGATAATAGAATATACATGAACTGTTAATGTAGAGACACTGTGAGGCAGATTTAATGGCAATTATTTAAACCGAAAGCAGCGAGAATCCAGACACATTAAAAAAGCTCCTTCACTCTGATGCGCCCAAAACAATTTCTTGCCTGAATAACTGTACATGCTTGTTCTGAAATCTGATTAAGCTGCCTCTCAGTCAGGGAAGAGACGGAAGATGGTCTCTGTCTGCTATCAGTGCTGCTCCTCTCTTGCACCCATTAAAAATAAAACTAAAAAATCATTTAAACTACCCATTTACATGAAATTCAATAAAAATCATGTAAGAATAATTCTAAAACTTATCTCTACATGTCTGAAGTTAATTACATTTTTTTTGTAAGACTTTGGACAACCACTCTTTAAAAATGCAGTCAAATATTTAAACTGCACGGGGAGTGGACGTTTCATACATATCTACATTATTCTAAACATATACACATGCATATTGACATGAAATGTCACACTTGATTAATTTGATTTAAATCTCTAGCAAAAAGTGACCCAATACTAAATCTTAGTTACTTTTTGTAAGTGTATGAGGGATTTATACCCTCACTAACAGGTGCTGTATGTACTTTCTATGATCTAAATGAACTTAATGCATACATTTATTTTTTTGGTTTGTATTTAGGAAAAGGCTTAAACCTGGTGATCAAATTATTAATTTAACTTCCAATATTTTGTTGTTCTGATCATTCTCTCCATCTCTTTGAGGTCACCGGGTCATGTGTTGCCATGGAAGCGCGCTGGTGAGCAGTGCTGCAATTTCAATCAGCCTCATTGGGAAAAGCCACACTGATTGAGAGGGAGGGGAGATGTTCTGGATTCTGGTTGGGTTTAGGTTTTAGTTTAGCTTTAAATTGTTTAAATTAAATTATTGTTTATATTATTGTTTTAAAATGTTTGTTTGCTCTAGAGATTTAATGTAGTTAAAAGCGTGTTATTTTCATATAAAAAGTGTAAATGTTGGCTCCACCCCTCTTAATTACAAATGGTATAGGCTAATGTTTTAAAAGCTGGGTAGTTTAAAACAGATGGGACTCTGTTTATTGGTGGTGGCTGAGGAAAGTGGAAACCATGTCTTTCTACTGTGAAGCTGTAAGAACCATGATTTTGAAAAAAAAAAAAAAAAAAAAATAATATATATATATATATATATATATATATATATATATATATATATATATATATATAATCAGAGCTCTACAACATTTGGATTTTATCTATTTATTTATTTTTTTCTTTTTGGTGTGTTTTTCTTGATGCCCAGGCCATTTTTAAGCCTGAAAGGTTTTGACTTTGCCCTCAAGCCTTACAAAGTGTAACACTGGACTTTTTTTTTTATATAAGTAAGAGAACACAATAGAAATTAAAGTTTCTGCATCTTTTATGTCCTGTAGTGTAAATATGCTTATTGCTATTTTTGGCATAGATCCCCAATCTGTTGTACCACAGTTCAATGTAGTTTTGCTTGGGAAGCTCACTCATGATCCTAACAGTATAGCAGTTAATAGTTGACTCATTATGAAATGCACTTAATTTAATGTTTTGTTAGGCTGTAAACATTTCCTTCATTTTCAAAGGAAGAAATTCCATAAAACAGGTAATTTGATTAAGATATATGGCGCAAGTACAATCAGCCCATTATTAATGTTTGTTCAATCGATGTCAACAGGCAAAACTGATCATGTCAGCAACTGAACAAAAGTAGAGAGAATGTAGGGCTTAATCAAGAATAGCTTAATGTCAATTTCTTTTTATTTTTTATTTTTTTGACAAATTGGTATATGGTAGCTGAAGTAAAGTTTAAAGAAACAAACATTCGGATTACAATAAACATTTTTAACACAGAAACACAGCTAACCAAACTTAAGCATGTCTTAAACTAATAGCAAGACTGCTTTACTGTCACATGCTTCTTTTTCTTTCATTTGAATTTTGACCTCTGACCTTTCATTTTATTAGACCTGCGAACTCTAGCAGTTTTTTTCGTCATAGCATGTTCTCTGTAATGAATACATTTGCACGCTTCAGTTTTGGAGTCCGGACATCGCTTATACTGCCCTCTTTATCACAGTGTCACGGCTCAGTGGAACACATCATTGGAATTGAGACCTTGGTAATTATGGGCAACCCTGGTGTTTTTCTTTTAGCGACAAGTTCAAATATCTGCTGAGTAGAAAAGGCATTGCATTAACAGGGAAAGGTTAATCTATTTTCAAAATGATGACCCAGGATTCACTTGGAAGATAACAGTTGCAGTTGAGTTTGGTTCTTCATAATATACCACTCATTTTTCCATGTGCAAAAGGTGATGTCTTTGCAAGATCTTCACTGTAAAACGTTAAATGTTTATCCGTCGCATTCCCTCAGGGATCCAGGCTATGTTCTAATGAGAAGAAGCAGCTCTGAAATGTGCACAGACTGATTCATTATGTCTGAACTGGGGTAAACATGAGTAATTTTGTACCAAATGAACAAATCCCAGAAAACTCAAACTTGTTATATTTAAAAGAAAATTGTCAAACAGTAATAAGTCTTGTAAGAAAAAAACAAAAACATTCAAGGAAAAGTTTGGCCATAATAAAATGGGATTTTGTGTTCCCAGCGCCCACACTTGACTCCACCTCAATTGGCCCCACTGTGGGACCTTCACCACCACCACCATCACTCAGCTGCTCTCTGGGCACCTTAGATGTCAGCCCTCTGCTCCACTCATGTAAGCTTCTGTAGCTTAGTTGTTGCGTCAGGCATTGCACCCGGTGTAAAAGCAATTGCCAGGTCCTCATGCGAGTTTACTCATGTGGTGACCCCTGAAGAAGGGAGCAGCTGAAAGAAGAATAGGCCAAGATCAAAGGTCACAGAGATTCAAGGTCTCGGAGGCACGAGGAAGAAAACAGGTAATCCAGGACATGGGGCGCAGGAGGCAGGTTCTAGGAAAAGTAGGAGAAAATAAGATGCTCAAGGATTCACAAGGAGGCCTCCTTGTGAATGGTTGGTGAACTGGTCAGTATTTGATGCTCCAGCAGGGAAAGGAGCACTTCCACAGACACTTGTATTCCAGGAGCTCATCAAAGGAAATGTCCCACAGCTGCTGCTCGTTGGCGTCGCCCAGGACTCAGGAACCTGCAGGAACAAAATGCAAGAATCCTACACATTTGTTTACATTTTTGCTATAAAGACATGTAACGCAAAACGTACGGTGAAGTAAAAATTAAAATAAAGTCATTTGGATTAACTGCCGTGAAGTTTCAGAAACTGGAGCTGTTTTATGGCAACCGATTCGGAAGTGTGTCCATTTACAGCACAATGCAATTTAAATGCTGTCTACAATTGGTAAACTATTTTCTAATTTTACACAAAAACTTAATTCATTGTGACAAACATTCTTTAACATGAGCAGTGTTGATGTTGATGTGCTGATGCACTCGGCTCCGGTCCAGTAAGAGTGTTACAAGTTTCTAACAACTACCCCCAACACACACACAGGTTTGTCTTGCTATCTTTACGGGGACTTTTCATTGACTTCCATTCATTTTTCATTCATTTCTATAACCTAACCCTGACCCTTACCCTAAACCTAACCATTACCAGAACATACCTAACCCTAACCCATCCTCAATTCACACCTTAGCCCCAAACTTAACCCCTAACCCACCAACATCACTTGAACCTTTTATGAGGACCGGGCTTTGGTCCTTACAAAGACCAGTTGGTCCTCACAATGTAGGATGTGCTCAAAAATGGTCCTCACAAAGTAATATAAACAAGCCTCCACATGCACATACACTTCCCTCCTCTTCATTTCTCTCCTTTTTCTTTAACACATGCAGCTCTGCAGAGCTGCACACAGCTTCCAAATACCTTCTATTTTGGCGATCATAATTATTTGATGACGGGGCTTCTAGTTTCTTCTCCACCCTTTTGTACACACGATCTAGATGTGAATAATTTAGCATGGAGAGCTAGAAAGGTAGGTCCCTTAAAAGAGTAGGTACACTCCAACTCTGGGGGCAGGACACTCAAAGCTATTCGTTTCTATCTTTAATATCCACCCACTCCTCACATCCAGTGTTTCAGTTGTGCCTTATCAACAAGCTGAAAGTCAATCCAGTTTTTAATCCAGCTGAACATTCGTTCCTAACCCCAGGCTCCACAGTGTCCAGCTAATGTCATTTTGCTTCAGGTGAAGAGCTTCAGGGATGGTCTAATACTTTCTCTGCATCCATTCTTCACTCATCCACCATGGAGGAACTCCAAAGGAAACTGAACCAGCGCTATGAAGGCACCAAGCCCAGAAAAGTGAGTTATTTATGGAACCACGTTCTTTTAGCTTTGCAGGTTTAAAGTACATCTTTAAATCTGTCACGCTGAGTAAAAACATGCTCAGATCATTTCATTTCTCTTTAAATATTTTCTACTGTATCTGAAAAAGTGGCAGATTGCTAGACATTACAACATAATTGTTTTCTTTTTGCATCTGATGTTGCACAGTTAAGATAAAAAGAAAATAAGAGGTTAGCTTCCATGCTGACAGTCCGTAAATGTTTGCACTCATCCCTTTTTGACAGACAAAATGGGGCTTTTGTTTCAACACAAATCTTCTATTTTAAGCTACGCAGATAAAACACACTACAGTTTTTGATGACGCATCGGTTAAATATAGAAAACTGCCTGAGTTGTTCTGCAAAAACACATTTTTTTCTCTCCCATAAACGACAGGTGAGATTTAAGCTGGCATCATCCTACAGTGGTCGCGTGTTAAAGCACGTGTATGAGGACGGCCAGGAGCTGGACAGTCCAGAGGAGAAATACCCTCACAGCTTCGTCCACAGGAAAATCCCACCCAGCCACCTTGAGATGGAGCAGCTTTGCAGCTTTGAAGACACACATGAAGACCAACAAGGTGAGTTTTATTTTGAAACATACATTTTGATCAGTTTATAAGCTGCTTTTAATGTGAAAGTCATATTTAAAATGTGCAATTCAGCCACCACATCAAACTTGTTTACATCAATTTATTTCTTGGGGGATGTTACATTTTGTGTTATTGTGACAAAACAACGTCAATGTTATTTTTCTCCAATGGGTTTTATGTTTCAAGGGAATTTATGATATCCATAAAGATTTCAAAACTCTTGACTCGTTTTTTTTAAAAGCTTCGAATGCCCTGACGTCTATACTTTCAATAAGATTGTTGCAGTCTAGTAGAGTGGTGTACAAGAGCACGAGACAGTGGGAGACAAAGTGTGAATATGAAAAAAACAGATACATTTTCCTTGTATTTTACTATGTTAATGTAATTTTTAAAAAAATGCCCACCTTTAAAGTAAAAATAATTAAATGGCATAGTAGGAAATATGTCTTTTCAAATGATGGGAATGTTGACACAAACCTTCTATATGTAAAATCAGGCTAACAAGGTCAAATGCTTAACTCTGTTTAGTTTGAGAGTGTCTGCAGTTTCATAAGATAAATAGGTGCATATTAGGGATGTGAATTTATGTTTAAATTGGTATGGTATGGTATAAAGTTTATTCATTTTAAAAAAGTACAAAACAATTCCATAACAATTTAAAAAAAAGCTACAAGAGATTTAAAATGAAAGGCAGCAGAAAGAAGAAAAAAATATTATATCTGCCCCTTTTTGAACATTTGAACATTAGGCTGTCACTTTCAAGTTTTAAACTACAGAAATACTATCTACTGATAATAACTGTACATTTTGTGGTCAAAACACTTATTTTAAAAAGCCACATATATTCCTGGCTGGTTCGGTGAGTAGTAAGCAGCCATTTTGCTTATAACATTTGATTGATCTGCACTGATGATCGATAAGTTAGACTGATGGTCCTCCATTTTGCATGTGTAAAGCCAGTTTTCTGGTAATTCCGCAGCAGACTGGTTTGAAACACGTCAATAAGGTGCTACTTAATGTGACATATCCTGTTGACAGGACTTGGATTGATGAAGTCTTTCGGATGAAAGACGAAACATTTCTTCCACAAATAAACCATCCAGATGACATAATTTAACTTTTTTTGGTCAAATATATTCCTGTTTAGTCCTAAATTATTAGTATTGTAAGAAAATACAATTGATTCTTAAGTTCATGAGGGGAAATAAACTGAAACTCAATACCTTGGGGTCCTTTGTAAAATCAACCAACGACCATAATGACTGTGAGCTAAGTAATTAGTTAATGGCTGTATAAACTGCATTTTGACCCTAATTAACTTTTTGCTACAAACAAAGGATTTTAAGAGGGTTTTGTTCCCCTTACTCAACCACAGTTTTTTTTTACTGAATCCAGGGGCTAAATACAGATAATTAACACAACCAATATTCTGTTTCTGCTCTTCTGTTTCAGTCATCAATGTTTAATCTCTCAAAAAGCTCATAAAATCTCTTAAGTAGTACCACAGGAATAGTTTTAACTGTAATGAAAACACTCAAACTCGATTGTTTCTGCTCATTCCACTGAGCGGTAGAGAGTGATCGATGTGGGCAGCTTTGGTCAAGAAGTAAAAAAAAAAAAAAGTAGCAAAGTAAAAGGTCAAAGCAATCCGTGTTCATCTGGTACCTGCTCTGTTTTGTTCAGGGTTGCAGGAGGGCTGGAGTCTATCACAGCTGTCAACAACTGATGAGGGTGGGTGGGGTACATTCTGGGCAAGTTGCTCGGTTCATGGCCGTCTCAGAGACACTTAGGGCAAACAATCATCCACACTCACACTGAAGAGCACGTCTTTTTAATAATCTTAGCATGCATGCTTTTGGACTGTAGAAGACAGCTGGAGGATCTGGTGAAAATGTCAGAAATACACTAGTGACTTAACCTGACTGAATAAAGTTCCTGGAGAAAATTTGATGGGGACTGCCAGGCTGCTGCCAATTTAAAAAATTGATTTGACAGTACGATGTGTTGGGGTTCGCGCTCAGCTACAACCATACCAAGTCGGAGCTGAATAGTTCTAAAAATGGCTGATATTTTTTCATTTTTAGCTAAGGAGGCCATCTTGGATTTTTGATTTGGATTCACTATGTGATGGGAACATTTTCAGCTATAACCTCATCAAATTTCCGCTCTGTGTGTTAAAAATTCCCGAGTTAAAACCATTTAAAAGTACCATTGGTGACCATCTTGGATTTTGACGCAGCGTTTCATGGGAAACATTCTCAGCTATCATCACAGCAAATTTCAGCTCAATATCACTTATGCCCCTTTTCCACAGTTCCTCCTTGGCCCCGCTTTACTCTACTCTTACGCTTTACCCCACTCTTTTCCACAGGGCCTTCTTTGTGGAACCCGCCTGTTTTTTTCAGTACTTCTCTGTGGTTCCATTGAGGCCAAGCAGGACCCTAAAACATGACGTCAGCGCACTGTCGGTTACTGGTTGGTCAGGGGGCGGAGTCATTGGTCGGAGGGCGGAGTTTCAGAAACTTCCACTGCAACCCGATCCGCCATTTTCTTTTTAACTCACCATTAGAAACAACTCGAATCAAAGGGAGCGTATTTTGGGAGTATTTTGAAGGTATAAACAATGTCACAACCGTGGTCAAATGCTGAAGTTAAGGCGTTTTTGTGTTTGCTGGCCGACGACAAAGTTCAGAGCGAGCTAGATGGAGCAACGCGTAACGAGAAGGTTTTTAAAGAGATGTCGGTGCGTTGATATTAATGATCCGCCCACTGAAGGGGCACTAAGGAAACAGAAAATTAAGCAATCCGACCTGTACCGGGCCAATAAGGGCTGAACCGAGCAGGACCTATGGAAATGAGGCAAAAAAAATGACTGATTTATAGTATTTTTCCTTTTTTGCTCAGGTGGTCATCTTTGAAGTCAAAGTCTATTAGGGATCGTTCTCAGCTACCAATATGCCACATTTCAGCTGAATAGCTCTAAAAATGGCCAAGTTATCGTATTTTTTCTCTTTTAACAAAAGGTGGCCATCTTGGATATTTGATTTGCAATAGGAATGTATAACAACTCACTCTCAGCTACAAACAATACTAAATTTCATCTCAATATGTCAAGTTGATAGAAGAGCAAGATCCCAACTAGGTGGAAAATAATAATAATAGGGGCTGAGTAGGCAGTTCCCAAAAAGTGACAAATACGACTTTTTGTTTGCTTTGGAACGATCAGGTTCAAGTTTTCATTTCCTGTTGACATATTTTATTCTGTACTCAGAATACGACCCTCCAACAGGGCTCATTGCCCAAAGAATAAACGTATACAGAGGAATGAGAAACTACAAACCTACAGCTGGTATGACCGATGGAGCAGAAGGAGACGGACAGGTATGCAATTCAATTTACTCCTGGGCTTTTAGTGACAGATTTATTTGTCTAAAAGTCTAAAGCGTAAAAATTAGCCTGGACTTTTATTTTTTTGTTGTTGTTCTTTCAAACTTATTTAATCTATCAGAATGCTGTGATCATTATGGGGAACAAAATCAAAATGTTAACATAATCATGTAACAGTTTGATTTACATCTTTACTGTAGGAGTTGAAGATTCAAGATCATGAGGGAGGAAAAAAAAGTTTAATTATTGCTAAATAAGATTACACTTCTGCTCTTGGCAGCCTTTCATATCTTATATTGAAAGTATGTCAACAGATAACATTGTGTAGTTGTCATAAATGCATGTCTGGTGTGTATGTGTCTGTGTGGCTGATCCGGTGTGGGAGGGGATTTTATTGTGATTTGTTTTAATTGTGTGTTCTGAAAAAGAGAGGAAAAATAAAAAGGCTGATAAAAAAACAAACAAAAAAACAAAACAAGATTACACTTCCTAAAAAGGGCTTTTTTTAATAAAGGATTTATTAAGCTTTACAAATGAGTTATTAATGTGCTTTCACGATTTGAATAACACTTTATAAAGCAATAACAGTATTCATAAAAAAAGTTTTAAAATATTGTTCAGACTGAAGCAATAGGATGATCAAGTGCTGTACTTTTATTATTTATCTTATTCATTCATTCCATGGTTAGATTTTATTTATTAAACATTTGTCTGTAAGCTATCTGCATGTAAGGGCTACAAACATTTGTTGATCCAAAGTTTGTTTTTGGAAAAAAAAAGAAAAAAAAAAGTTAGTTGGTTAAAAAAATCACCAGAGCAGCTCAAATACATTTACCCAAATGAATTAAATCTTGCATGATACCTGCTGTATGTATGAGCAGTATAAATGTTTTAAAAGTGATTGTCAAAGCTTTTTTATTTAGCTTCTTTATTACTTGGTTTACAAGCTCAGACAACTTGGTTATAAAGCATTATATGAATTAAAAAGAGGAATATTAGGGGTACTGAAAACCAATTTTGCAATTTACATTTACAGCAAGTCTTGAATACATTTACAAACTTCATAAAGTTAAGCAGACAAGATGAAACAATGGAGTTATTTTGCTCATAAAATGTAATTACTTTAGGATTGAGTCTAATGCTTTTTGTGGAGCTGTAACATAAAAAAAAAGCTATGTACTTCAGCATTCGAATGACACAAATCTGTGGTAGACAAACTATTAATTGTTTGGTGGACACAGAAATTTGATGTAACATAAAGAACAAATTATTTCTTTATTTTTTTAATCTGGTCCTTTCTCCAAAGCTGCTGGGGCAGCAGGAGAACAGGGAGATCAGTGACGGCACACTGCCTGTTGAAATCGTGTCATTTTCATTGTTTTATCTCCAAACACAGCAACACTTGGCCCCACTGACCCTGTCAGTTATCACAGTGTTCATCAACGGAAGGCAAGAACCTACAGTTAGTTTAGTTATAGAGCACCACTGAAACGGTGGCACAGTGGTCTTATGTTTGTTTTTACATCTTATGGTTTAGTTACATTTAAAACTTTATGTGGAGATCTCTTGATACAATGACACCATTGTGGCTTGTTTTTAGAATAAGAAGTTCCTTTTAAAAATCTCATTCTACTGGAGCTCATCTGTAAAATGACAAACGGCTTTCCAAAATTCAAATCCCTAAAAGGCCAAGGGGTGGTTCCCAATTTTCAACATTTTCACAAGTGTACAAAACAAACTTTTTGGAGACCCATAAAAAAAAATTGACTTTCACAAAATATATTATAAGCAATATGCAATTAAAAGTACAGCTGAGACATAAAACCCATGTGCATACATGGACATTGCACTAAGGTAAAAGTACTGTCATTACACGTTTGTACATGTCTTAAATTTTTTTTTTTTAAAGTACAAAAACAATACCAAAATGCATAAATCCTCTCTATAGGTCAGGGTTGTCTGATCACAAACACTTCATCGTGAACCATACCATATCATTTAATCTATAGAGCACTTAAAACAGCGACAAGGCCAACTAAAGTGATGTACAAACAGAAAACAGGCAACGCACAAAACAACATACAAAATGGAATAAAATCAGAATACAAACACAAAATCATTGCAGATAATAAATATAATGACTAACCTGTGCGAAGCATACAGGTTCAAACACAGAACCACGGTCACAAAAGGCTGGTGCTGGTAAACCCAGTGGCGCAGGAAAGCAGGCGAGGACTCAGGATAATGAAAAATAAATAATTTATTAACAAAGCAAAAGAGCTGACAGGGCAGCAAAATAAACATGGATAAACAGGAGGTACTTACATAACAGACAGATCACCGGTGGACATAAGACAATGCCAGGACAAGGACTAACATAGAGACAAAGACCTATATACAGGAAACGCCGATTAGACAAAGTGAAGGCACATATGAGTAATCACAGATGCCAAAGAAAGAGACAAGGGATGCAAGACATAAACACGACACAAGATGGGACTAGATGCTAAAGAAACACAAACCCTATAAAGATGGAAACAGAGGATCAGGTGAATGCAGACATAAACACAACCCCAGAGACAAAACCACAACTCCTACAACCACCAGTTTGACAGAATGATTGAACAATGGTTTTTAAAATATTTTTTAAAAAAAAGTTCAATGCATCAAACGTCGTCTATAAGGTGGTAAAATTGCTTAAAATTTAGAAAAATTCATCCAGTTCCATCATGCCATGCCCAAAGAATCAAGTGCCATCAAGGTGATCAGAGTTTATTGAAAGTGCGTGTATTATAAAACTGAAATGTCCTTCAGTCACCAGGGTATGAAAGAGTGCAGCTTTCATTTTAAAAGTTGGCCTAAGAACCAAATAGGAAAACTGAGTGAACAGAAATATTCTGATTTATCAAACTGTGCACATGCATGTTTCTGTGGTCCTTTCCTTCATACATCCCAACAAACATGGAACTGAGCGCACATCAGACTCTTCCCCTGACATGCCTCCAGTTAAATATGCAAATATGTATTGCAATGTGAGATTCACCTCTCTGCACTATCAAAGTTGATGCCTTCCTTTTAAAGGCTCTGGCTGCAAAGAAATCCAGTGTGGTGAGGACTTGAACTGGCACCGGCACTTCCTGTGTGTGTTTGCGTTGAATGATGATGCAGTGATGTTAACTGTGCATAAAAAAATGTGCGTGTGATTTTTTTTTTTTTTTTGCACTGCCATGCGGAAGACTAGCAACATGTTGGTCAAACAGGGTTATCAAAAAATGTTGAACATTTTTACTCTTTGGAAAATGTTCAAAACTGTGAACCGCCATTAAATCTAAATGGTATTCCATCAATAAACATCGTTTTGATTTTGACAAGTGAAAGTGGCTCATCATCCTAAAATTATCTCATAAAGACACAACATTAATAAGCTTTGGATGTGAAATGTTTTTTTTTTAATCTGTAAGCAAATGTAAAATTATATGATAAATTTTCTTTCACAGTCCCAAGTGTTAGACTTTGGCAAAATAATTATCTACACCAGCAACCTGCGCATCATAAGAGCACCGCCGAAGAAGCCCGAAATGTTGCGACAACACTCGGTGCCCCCGCTGGACCTGGAGGAATACCCAAAGGCCAAGGACAGAGGGAGCAGGAGGAGGGATAAAGCTCTTCACATGCAGGAGGGGGTGGAAAAGGATGAGAAACCTGTCAGGGACACAGATACCAAGGTAACGATCTGTGAGTAAGTTATTGTTGTTGACGTGGTTAGATTCACGTCAGTGGCATTTCTGATTGTTGATCATCCAAGTCATATTTACTCATCGCCCTTCCTTACTATTTGTTACATGTTTAGGTGCTCAGTAGATCTTTCTTCAATTAAAAAAACACTATGAAGATCTGTTGACGTCTCATGAGACAGCCTATGTTACGACCACCTTATTTGTACTCTGTTCTTTTCCTTTCCTCACACTGCCCCCCCTGCTGCAATAACCACTAACCGATTGTCCCCATGTTATCTGTCTGCTGTGAACAGATACTGATGAGTCCACAGTTTTCCTCTGCCCTCGCAGCATCTGCCTGACACTTACAAGCCAGCAAGGATAGCATACTTGCTATTATTCTCTCCCTTTTACCTCCTTGGCTGATTGCTGTTCTCTCCACCGCCATCTTCCTTCATTCTTCTTTCTCATTTCTTTTATTTACACATGTTTCTGCTTCTAAAAAAAGTTCATTCTTAGTTTTTTTTTTATATATATTTTCTTTTGTTTAGCAGAGAAAACATTCTTTATTATGTTTTTCATTTTTGTTTAGCTGTCTACAAGGTTTTTCTTCCCCCTCTCCTTTTGTATATTGGCAGAAAAGAAGCAATTTTGGGGTAATACACATAACAGAAATAAATGATACCATGATTTTGGTCTTGTCTATACAGGACCATCCCCATCAAACCTTTTATTTGTTTGTTTTTGAAAATGTTCTTGTAAACATGGCACCAGTTAGTCAAATGTTTTATTCACATGGAAGCACAGAAAATGAAGAAAAATGCTGTAGTACGTATGCCAGGCAAGTATGTGGCCCTTTGACACCGTTACAAAAATACATCAGTAACAGGAAACAAGACATGGATCATGCACATGAAGCTAACTCTGTGCAGTAGCTATAGACTTTTATACAATGTAGCATCTGTGGTTCAAAATGTGAACACAGCACAGGGAAAAAGACAAGAATTGCTAATACAAGCGCAAAAACCAAATTCATTTTACGGACTGATTACAAAAAAAAAATCCACTTTGAGTCACTTTAAATTACAGGACGACAAAAATGTAGAAGAGTGTTGAATGGGATTTGTTTGGATCAGTCCAAATATGTAAACAAAATAATTTTTAAAAAGAGATCATATTTGTTGTTACTGTTATGTGTGGCACCTGGAGTTGTTGATTAGGTTAGCAGTGGGTGAATGACATAGGACTCAAAAGGTTGTATTTATATTATTTACACAAAAACAAGATTTACATGAAAAAAAACCATTAATTCTGGAACCAGTTAAAAAAAAAAAAAAAAAAAAACTTTTAGGCTCCTACTGCTGTTTTCTTATGATTGTAAGGCTGAAACAACACAAATAATTTCTATATATTCACAAAAAATGTTCCAGTCTTTATTTGTCCTTAAACAATAATTTATGACAGAATTGACTGTATAGTGTCTTGTCACAGCTGGATTTTTCTAATTTGCTGAGCATCAGGAAGTTTTTTTTTAAACTTACAGCCCGCTGTCTTTGCCTCTAGAGGTAAAACTGTTCTGGCTGATATTCAACTGACTGGTTATTTGTGGTAAAAATGTACTTTAAAAATGATTGAATAAAAACAAAAAATCTGCTTGTACATTTTCCTGATACACACCTAAAGAAAGGCATTGATTGAAAATGTAAATGGACAAATTATCATTGACTTTTAAGTTTCAGCTGCTGTATTCATACCCATCTGCTCACTACAAACTCATGTTCAGGCTGCTCTTTAATATAACATATTATTTTACATTATTAGTGTTTAGCGTATATCTTAGATCCTTGTATACTGTTTCTTTTAATACGTTATCCTTGTGCTATTTTTTTAGTGTACAGTAGTCCCTCGCTACTTAGAGGTTCGACTTTGGCGGACTTGCTCTTTTTCATTTTTTCAAAATAAGATTTGACATGACACAACTGGCTGATTGATGGATGAGCCATGGATTATTTATTTAAAATAAATTATTTAAAATTATTTAGCACCTGCTAAATCATTAGGTGCAGGGAGAAACTCACTCTTGCAGCCTGTCATGATCTCTGCTCTCTGCCACCTGCGGCTCTCTGCCACGCCCACATTTCACGTCCGTGCTGCAGAAGCTTCGTGAAGGGTTAACCTATGCTGTCCAGTTGCACCCATCGACTTTTGTCTTCCAATTTAAAATTCAAAGTATGTCACATTGTAAAATCGTCATAATCACAAATTACGAAAGTGTTACAAGTAAATTTTAATTATTTTTGAACCTATATGCTCATTTGTTACAGTGTAATTGATCAAAAAGTACATTTCTGCTCCGTGCTGTATCAGCTGCGTGACAAGTTAACCCTTTTCTGTCCTGCTGTGCTTCTCTTGTCTACAATTTACATTTAAATACTGTATTTTAAATAAACAATCAATGGATTGTTTATTTACAATATTAGAATATTTACATTATATTGTTTATTTACACAGAAGGGGAAGATTAACAGGTGATGAGTGTGATCGCAGCGTGGCAGAGAGCGGAAATCACAAGATTCTGTGCTCTTTTAGAGCGTTTAGTTTAGAAACATTGTTTAGAATATTGCAAGAGTGTGGG